TCTGCCATATTGCAAATATCCATTAACTCCTCTGTTACATGATAAAATAATTTTGCTCAAACACAGTTGAGTTTAAACACTCAAAGGAACATTGTCTTACAATGTCTGGGCAGTTCTGGTCTTCAGGTTGCTGTTGTGTCTCAAAGAGTAAACAAGCCAATATGTTTGTTGTAGAGCCTTTCTTAGGAGCAAATGAAAGAAAGATTTTCTTTTTTTTCTGGATTTCTTTCCAGACTCTGGGAGGTAGAAAAAGGCAGAGACCAGAGAGGACACTGAGGAAGAAGAGGACAGGCAAATAAACAAAGGGGATCCTCACCAATTTGTCTCACAAATTGGGTTTACACAAATAGTTTATTACAGAAAGAACATTCTTCTCTATCTGAGGCTTTTTCTTCCTCTTCTTCCCCTTCTGCCCACACACTCACATTCTGTACCACATGCTCACATCACACAGACATCTCAGGTGGACAGAACGAGGGTTGTCACAGTGAAAATAACCCTGGCAGTTAGAGCTCTTTCTCCTTTCCTGATGCTGTCTGGCAGAGATGTGACTTCATACAGAGTAAGTTTTAAAACAGGTTATCACAGCCTCAGGAACCTACAGCTGCCCAACCTGGTGGTGCTGGGAATCCTGTGGATGCACCCTGTATCAACAGAGAAACACCCAGGACCCAAAAGTCTGGGCATGCAAGGTCAGGCAATATCTGTATTTGATTCTCTAGTTTAATCTCATGACATGAGAAATGTCCAGCTATCTAAAACTAGCTAGCTGTGCCCAAAGTACTAGACTTAATTTTGAAGTACATCTTTCAGATTTTCTTCTCTGCAATGACACAAACCAGAAACATTTTACAGTGACAACGGAGGAGGGATGACACCACAGCAAAGAACTGTAAGTCACAGAAATATTTATGTGGGATGACATAATAAAGATTGTTATGATTGACACAGTAAAACTTCACCCCTTTCAGTAAACTGCTGCTTTTTCAGGAGAAGGAAAACAGTTCTACTAATCTTAGTACAAATAAATAATTATTGCTCATTTTCTTTGTATCTTTTTTCTCCCTCAACCACACACATACATTACAGGAACTTGCCCTGCTCATATGGGGACTCCTTCCTGTCTTTTCACCTGTAACACAGGTAGGATGACAAGCTTTATTTCCTCTGCCTTTGTTCCCAGAGACTGCAGGAGGGGAAGAGAAGAGCAGGAAGAGCTGCTAGTAAGGTTCCTCCAACTCCTTGTGTGGAATGAGAGTTGGTGGTGCCAAGCTGCACTATCTGTGACCTGTTAAATATTTTGAGATGTGTGATTTGGGGGCTTCAAGCACCAGCATTATGCCCTGTAGTGGTGATCTGGAGTGAAATACTGTGTTTGCCTTGAGTGTGCTCTGCAGCTCCCCTGATCACACTTGCCTTTGCTGCTTCTGCTTCAGCACTTGGGAAAATAAACCCATGCATGCAACACTTAATTTCTGCCTGGGTGGCAGGCTCTCCTCCTGGTGCTGTCAGCCTTCAGCTGCCAAAAATGCTATCACAAAACCTCAAAGATATCCAAAAGATTATCCAAATTTCCAAACAGGCAGGATCATACATTGTATTTCCATATACCCTTAACAGGGCACGGGGACAAGAGTGGCTCCATAATGGCATTATAAATACAGCAAATTAATGGTGGATGCAATGCCAACACCTTGTCATTATGCAAATTGGAATGTCGGCAGGGATGGTTATTCAACAACCCCTTTCTAAGTAACCAGACGCCTAATGCTGCTCATTACACCTAAACTAATTAGCACCACATTTAAACAATTTTAATAAGCTTTTTCCTTAACCCCTTGACAGAGGGGATTCCTGATGCTCATGCAAAAACATGCAAGCCCTTGGCACAGGAGCACTGGAGGTTTGCTCAAGGTGCTGGCAGGCAGAAAAGCAAGGGGAAGTCCATCCAGAAATTCAAATGACAATATTTAGGTCATGGACATTTGAAGATGAAGGGACATTTCTCTAGAATAAAGTCCAGCTCAGTTTGCTCATGGGCTCTGGTGCAGCCTTGTCACGAGCACAAACACACTGTGCCCTCTTCCCAGTGTGGCAGAACCTGCTTCCCCACTGCCCTCCTGAGCTGGTACTACATTTAGGCTCTGTACTACCCAGACCTAACTAATAGGAAAGGCTCAGCAAGGACATGAATTTATTTCTTTCTCCACTCAATCAGCTTTGAAGAAGAAGAAGAGGAGGGAAAGCATCAACTCAGAAATTGGAGTAATGAACAGATCTCTCTCCTTTTCCTTCAGGGACAGCATCCGACTCCCACAGCTGGAAGGACAATAACTTTGTCCCATGGGTCCAGCTGCCAGGCAGACCCAGCTCTCACCCACATGTATTTTCCAGGGGATATGCTAAGTTTTGGAATGCTTACCACCTCTCCCAGGTCACCAGGGCTGCCAGATGAGGAGAGCCCAGACTAGTCTTGATCTGAGTCTGCTGCTCTGAGGCCTTTCCCACCCTCTGTCTTAATACCTCCAATTTCTCTTGGAGGATTTTGTAATAGGACCATCACCCCATCCATTAAGAGGGACGCTCCTATGGCTCTGAATGTACCAGCAGGTTTGAATTTCCTTCACCACCTTTCACCTTCCTTTCTGTGTAATCCCCCTCGGTCTCCCCACCCCACACCCTGGCAGGTGTCTGAGCTCTGCACTGATGTGGCACAGCTGCACAAATTTGGGTCCACGGCACCAGCTAAGCTGGGAGAGAGACCTACCTGGGGCTTCCACCTCAAACCCTCCAGCTGGCTGCAGGAGAGCTGCATTTAGGTGGGGGTCTCTTTCCCGAGCTGTGGTTCTTGTTCTGTGCTTGGCTGTGTAGCTGACTGACCCTCGCCCTGATTTCCCACTGCTGGTTTGGCTCCAGACCTGCCCTTTATCTCGGTGGACCTTCAGGTAACTGTGACTGGTGTCTGACTCTGTTCCTGTTACCAAGATTGAGGGTTTTTGTTTGGGTGTGTGTGATGGTGCCTTGTCAGGAAGGCCATTGCCCCTTCCTGTTTTAACCTTCGGCTCCTCATTTGCCTCTCTCTGATGCCTTGAGTCCTCTACTGTGTTTTTTCTCTCACCTTGCAATGGACTAACTTTCCTCTGCACTCCCAGCACTGTGGAATTTTCCTTGGGCACTGCTTGGAGCAGAACTTTCATGTTTGCAGATGCAAATTCAAGTGTTATTTTCACCCGGCAGCAGGATGCTGTTAATTATTTTGGGTATATTTAAATGTAGCTGTTCCAGTGCATGCCAGAACAGACATATGGAGAAACTGCTCTCCAGTAATTACCAAAATAACACCCTTCTCTCAGGCTTTGGTGTCCAAGAGGTCCTGAGGAATGACCTAGCTGGTGAAAGTATCAATGAGGGAGCTCTCTCCTGAATCCATGAAGGTGTTTTTAATGGTAGATGTCAAGGGAATGAGGATTCAAATCCAGCCCTCCTTGCCTCAGTCTGGGGACTGTCATCTGCAAGGCTGTTATCCTTTCTCTAGTTTCCTACATGAAGCATTTTTAGCTCTACTGCGGCTCAGTGTCAGTTCCCATGTGAAAACAGGTGATGTGAAATGTCTCCTACCACTCCCCTTCCATTTAAATTGCCAGTGGCTTGGGCTGCTCCCTGAGACAGGACACGGGACTGTCACCTCTGGGGCCGAGAAGGGATCTGAACTCCACCTCCTGAACATGTGCTCCAGCAGGAGAGCTGTTGGGTGCGTTATGGCTTCCACTGCCTGTTTAAAATCAGTGACTTTGTTAGAGGTGCGTGTTTGGGGGTGTGAGGCATCCCCAAAGGTTTTAAACACCTGATTTTCATCACTCAAGTACTGCTGCAACATCCAGATGTCCTTACCTTTTCCGATGCATCACCTACAGAGACATTCGTGTCACCTCCATGACTAAAGGTATTAGTGTGTTTAATGGCACAGGATCAGCTCCACACACAGCTGCACCACAGCCAGGCATTTGCAGTGTGAGAGACCACCAGATGGCTCATCTGCCTCTGCTGAACTGCTGTGATACCTGCTGAGCTGGGTTTTCCCTGGCTGGCTCCTGAGATTCAATACTTCTTGCTTCTGGCTGGGGGCTCCTTGTAACCAGGAACACCCTTACTGTCCATTTCCACAGCCACTTTAAATGGAACAGGTTCATTTTTTGTTTGTTGTTGTTTTTGGTGTTTGTTTTCAAAAAGAAAGATGTTTTTTCTTTCAGTAATGTCTGCTTTGATTCACTGATGCTTTCCCCAACATGCAAACTGTTCTAAGTAGTGTGATCCACCGTCCACGTGGAACCGCTTACAAATCCCACGTCTGTTTTGCTTACAAAACTCCCAAAAAGCCCCACAAAAAACACAACCCCAACCCCCCAGATAAATCCTTTAAAACGTAATTTCTAAGAACTCCCAAGGGTTACAGTTTTCTAGTAGAAATTTTACAGAAAATGAAATCACAAGGTATCGTACAAAAGATGAGCATGGACCCCTCATCCCTGTAACCTCAGAGGGCATGTGCTGAAGGATTGCTTTTATTCAGAAGCTCCATACCAAGCTCATTTATGTCACTAAGTACTTTGTACTGGAGGACCAGACTCTTCATTCCAACCTTAAACAGCACCAAATCCATACATGCCACAGCCTTTTTCCTTCCAGCCTTTCACTTCCCAGATGCAACCATACTCTCAGGTAAGAGAATAACCACGGAGAAGTCTTTGCTTTCGCTTCCTGTTTTACCACTGAAACAGCCCTACTTAAAAAAGGATGACTCAGATGCATCAGCACAGCTCACAAATCCCTTTGGACACACAGTGTTTAACCTCCATTACAACTGTTCACCTTAACAACACTCCAAGGGCAGAATCACCCCAAGGTGTTCAGGTACCTGGGAATCGCACGCAGCATCCCCAGTGGGCAGAAGTACAATTGCAGAGGTGTCCGAGTCAGAAAGACAAAACCACACACAGAGATTATGTGAATGAAACTTGCATTTATTTTTTTTTCCCCAGAAGTCCTGAGCACAGGATTAGAAAGTCCCAGCAGAAATGCTGCACAATCAGTTGAGCAATTAAGACATTTGCAGAACTAGAGAGCCCAGAGACCTCAAATCTGTAAACTGCTGTTAAGTAAAGTGACACACAAGAAGTGTCATGTATCTAAAAAGTAGATTGCTCTGTTTCGAACTTAAAAGGATTTCTATTTAGTGAAGGTAAACTGGATCTTTGGAGATTGATGCCTTTTTTTTTCCCTCCAGCTACACCCAGGAAGAGGAGAAAGGTCCCCCAAACCCTGTGAATTGTGTCTGACCAGTTTAAATGAGAATGCTTAAGTGACAAATTCAAGACCTGTTGTGTGTGCTGAGTTGCTCTTGTAGACAAATAACTGGATTAAAAGAGGCAATAATTAACACAGGAGGGGAAGGGTTTGTCAAACACCAGATCAGGGGAAGATACCTGTTGGTAAGAGGCCAGGCTAAGGAAAAGGCAGTGCTACAGGGGATGTGTGATCAACACATTCTCCTATGAAGGGTCAGTGGTTTGTCTTGCTTCAAGGCAGAAAGAGGGAGAAAAAAGTTTGTATCCAACTGAGTATATTCCCTACCTGACAAGGGAAGTTCTCACAACAACAACAACAACAACACACAAACAAACAAACAAAAAGGCAGGAAAAGAAAAGCTTTAAAAAAAGCCATTGCTGGCCATCAACCTGGCCCAAAGTCCAGGTACCTGTGTCTGAGTCACTTGCAAGGAAACCTTAATTCTGCAAATTGTCCTTCTGCATGGAAGAGGCACTCGAGGAAAACACCTTTCCTTTGGGCATGTGTGCTTCTAATAAGGAAAGGTGGAAAGCACAGAGTGACATGACAGGAACAGGTTTAACTGGCAGATTGGACAATTGACTCCAGAGAGGAAGTTTTAGCTCACAATTCTAGAACTGACATGACTGAGTAGCATCACAAAATCACAGAATGATTTGGGTTGGAAGGGACTTTAAAGATCATCTCGTTCCAACCCCCATGACGTGGGCAGGGACACCTTCCACTTGGCCAGGTTGCTCATAATGCAGCATTACTTCTTTTTTTTTTCCCCCTCTCAGACTTCTACCACTTGTTTCCAATCTCAGTCCCTGGGCTTTTTATGAAAGGCCCAAAATGGGAACTCCATGGGTTAAAGTGCATCTACTGTTTGCTGGCAACTTTCTAGTGCTGACATTTGTTGCCTGAACCTGCAAAGAAGGGTTAAGTGTCACTACAAAATACAAATTCCCCACTCTTGTCGCAGGGAGCAGAGAAAACAGAATTTATAATTGAACACCTTCAGCCTGTGCAGGCTTGAGAATCTCTGGAATAGTGGCACAATGACCCCTGTGGCTCTTTGGAATGTTAATCACCAAGTGACAGTTTCTTTTGGACTGTCTGGGGATCCAAGCATCCAATGACCAAGATTACATTCAAATGTGTGGGATTTTGTTGGTGGTGGTTTTGTGTGGTCTTTTTTTTCCTGTGTGACTTTCTTCTTAATAAGAAATCAAATCAATTCAGAAGGTGATTCAACTGACTTGATGATGAACTTGGTTTGTCCTTGCTTACATTTTCACCTGAAGTCTTCACTGCTGCATTAGCAAGATTCATAACAGAAGTGGCTTTGCTTTCCAGTGCAGTAAATAATATTTGAAATTCTGGCTTTTTATTATTTTCAGTAGTTCAGAAGTACATCAACCTGTGCTAAAGAACAAAATGTCTTCCAAACTGCAGAGCTTTTGCAAGATAAACTACCAAGATTCAGCATTAATTGCTTTATAAGCAATACCTGTGCAAGTCAGAAGGTATTTGGCAGAACTGTAAATTAGCTTCTGTCTGAGGTGGCTAGAAACTACATTGAGTTGTTAAATTTTTCTCATTTTTAATTCTTATAATCTGCATGAAGAAACACCTCCAACAGGTGAGTGACTAAGACAGAGCTACAGAACCCATTCCATTTTGTATTCAGTATTTCATTGAGAACTTGCAGTTCACTTTGAAATTGATTTTCAAACATTGTCCCTCTGGTTCTCTGGATTTCCTTCCCCCACAAAGCTGTGTGAAATCTTGCAAGAGCACAGCTGGTCAGTGTTTCATTCGTTCTCCTTAAGACACAACTAGAGGCAGCAAAGCAAGTTTGGCAGTTCTGGTTAAGGACCCAGCCAAGAACTACAATCCACACTGGATCCCGCTGCCTTTTTAAACTTCACACTTTCACTTCATGCTTTGTTGATAGCAGGTAAACTGGAGCACATTCTGCGTATTTCTACAGACTTTCACAACATGCCTTCCAGGAGTGGTTCTGAAAGATACCGGGACGTGACCCTGGGAAGACAAGAAGCAGCCCAGGATGACCTTGTCACTTCAGCTCTTCCCTTTGTGCCACAGCCACCACGTTTGAATTAGCTCCTGGATTTCAGTTTGAAATGAGCTGCAAGACATTTGGATTTTTTCAGTGTGTACACAAGAGGTTTTTAGAGGTACTGCAGGAACCACTGTGCTGCTTGCTGTGGCACATAATCTAGAAGAGCAGGTTGAGCAAACACTCTGTGCATTGCCATCTGTGGTAGAAATCTAACTGGTTTTAAGTATTTTGTTTTTTTTTTTCCTGGAGGCATGAAAGTGGAGGCAAATTAAACACATATGCTGGCAAAAGGAAGTATAAATTACAGGAGTCCCGTAGGAAGGAAAAAAAACCAAACCCCAAAATCTGAAAATTTTACCCAGAGAATGTACAAGTCACAAAACATCTCTATTTCATGTACAGTTCAAATAATTATCAACTTGTTGAATGCATTCCATTCCATACCATCCCATCTTGGCCAAAATTAATGTTCATTATCAAATAAGTTAAAATTGCAAACAATTTCAGAACGACCCCTGTGAAAATGTGCCTTGCACAGTATTTTAGTATAAATACAAATATCTTTGATCAAGGTTTTTTTGCAGTTGCACTCAAGAGCAAAGATGATCAACAATTTAATTCAGTGCATAATTAAACTGGTTGGCAAACTTCTCGTGCTTCCTTTGGTCCACCCGGTTCATGGCTTTCACGACCCGTTTCATGGCACCTCTGAAAGAGAAACAACAAAAAAATAACAATTATATTGAGTCTGTGCAATCTCAGAGAATGTTTATGAATGCTGTGGGGAAAAAAAGAAAAGAACTATGATTAATCACTAGCAGGCTTCTGAACACGGCATTGATGAGGCTGAACAAATTTGTCTTGTTAACTAAATTAGCTGCAGCAGTATAAATAGTTTAATTCAGCAATGATTTTATTAACAGGAGTAAACAAATTCAAGTCTTTCAGTTTAATGGCTGTGCCTTCCATCCTCCCAGCATTATTTCTGATAGCCACACACAGCAAGTTTGATCTTCAAATGAACCTAACTGCTCTCAGGGAAATAATAACTGAAAGTACCTAACAGGATCTTAAAAAACTAATACTCAGAAACCCTTATGGAATCCAACCCTCAGTCTAGAATGTTTGTGTGAGGAAAGGGTTTGCTGTTCACTTCAGGTAACTTCATTTAGCTAAATTCATTTAGCAACTTTCACAGGTTACTAAGAGCCTGTTTGATCAGATGTGGGCCAAGTTAAGACTCTTTTGCTCACACCCAGCAGCATCCCCATTTCTGAGCAGCAGCTTTTAATCCACAAGCACAACTCTAGTTTGGGAAGACACCAGACAGTTTTGTGTATCTCCAGGCAGAGAGAGAGGCTACTGCTGCAGAAGTTAAGAGCCTGGAGTTTAGACAGTCAGGACAATGTGTCCAATATCTTATATAAAGTGGGAATGGGATCTCTGCTGCCTCAGGACGGGCAACCATTCAAGCCCTCTGCAGTGCCTGCTGTGCTTGAAGAAGGCTCTGGAATGTTCTTCATATTAAAAAAGGAAATGAAGGAATGAACTTCGGAGCTGTTATGCTTTCTGTTGCTCCTAAAATCAGTGAGGGCTTGCCCCCTTGTTGCTGCTCTATTTGCTGCCATTGTTTCCTCCCAGTAAAGGTGGTGCCCAGAGATTTCTTTTGGGAGGGACTGCTCTACTTCTCAACTGGGTAAGTGGGGAAACTTCTTTTTTCCCCTCCACAAACCTTGGAGTGGAGATCACACAGCTGAGATTTTGAGGGTGAGGAAAAATGATGCCTAGACAGCATGAATAGAAGATTGTCATAAAAGGCACAGAGAGAGCAGGTCTGTATGTCCTCTAACTGGTAAGGCAGAGGAATGGGTTCACAAATCCAGAGGGGTAAGACAGCAATAAAAAGAGGCAGCAGAAGCAGTCAAGAGAATGCTCTGTTGTGAATATCTGCCCCCTCAGAAACTCTGAGCAGCTGTTGTGCACAGCTGAGTGCATCTTGCCTTGTTCTTGCCTGGATTCTTTTTACTGGTGACTTCAGTTGCCTCGGGAACAAAAGCTCAGCAATCTGAGGCTGATACTTGCAGGTGTGCTCAGATGTCACCCTGCCTCTATTCATGAAGGAATTTATCTCCTAACACATCTCCAGGTAAAGACTTGGATGCTCTGCCGACGTGGGAGGCAGAGCAGCCACAGGCTTGGTTTGAGGGACTCTGTCCCACTGAAGAACGTGGGAGGGTCCGATGTCTCCTTGGATTCCTACACCAGAAAGGCAGTTGGCAAGTTCCATCACACAAAGCGGATGGTTTCAAGTCCAGTGCTGCCAGACTCTATTTTGTCACAGCCTGCCTTTATCACTTCTGAGGACATCACAAGCTGTGCAGTAAAATGAAGACAAGATGTGCAGCTGGTAGTGTGCCCCAGCCCTTTTCAGGATCCTCCAGGATCCTCCAGGCTGTTCCAGTTCTGCTCCCATGGTTATCTCCAAGAGAAGCTGATTTCAGTTTTGGCCAACTGCTCTCTGTATCAGCTTCATTTCAAAAGCCATTTTGAAACATCTGACAGCAGAGGTTTCTCCTTAATAACACTCTAAATGGTGGGATTAAAGATTTTTCCCAGCAGCAGCTGCAATGAAAACCAACATTCTGAAAAAACACCTCAGGAGAGGTATACTTTTAACAAAATTCTGCCAATTAAAGTTACCAGAGTAAGGAAAATGTGGTCATGGTTTTGCACTTCAAATATTACCTAATTGGTAGGAGAAAAGTGAGCCTTTAGCAGTGCAGAGTGGCCTTGACACTTTCATGTCAGGTAGGTTTTACATTAGCACCACTGGATTGTGCGATACTGTAAATGAAATGAGATCCCACTTTGATGATCTGTGTGCAATTTCACTTAGCTTTATTGGCAGACTGGAGCCTGGGTTTATCACCTATACATTTCAAGTAATTTGGGGTTGTTATAAGGAGCCAAGGTTATCATCTTGTTTAGTGCTGCAAAGCATGAAACCTATTAAAAACATGACAGGTTTGATTCCCTATGCCTGGCACTAACACACACTCAAAATCATTAGCACAAGCCACAGTAAAGCACGATATGGAATTCTGATCATTAGAACTGTAGGCCTCTGAGTTCTAAGACCAGGTGACATGAGAATTTCACAGAAAATGTGGTATTTCCATACCTGAAAGCAATGTGGATTTCGCTTTGTTATTATAACCATTACATCAGAAAAGGGAAAATAAAAGATTTTAAACAAATATTGTGCCTTGGATGCTGTTCAACTCACCCAGTATGTTTAGGGAATAACCCATCATTAATGATTTTGTAATAAGAATTTTGCTTTTTTGATTTGACAACTTTTCACTATCCTTTGACTACTTCATTTTTGACATGTGAAACTCTTAAAAAAGTTGCAGCTCCTTCCCACCTGATAAAGACCAGAGCTTGCTCAGGCAAATTTATGTTGCAGCCACATCTGAGCAAGAACAGACATCAGAAATGGCACAACAGAGCGGACACATGGAGCTACTGTACTTTCTAAAGCCTGTTTAGTGATGGTTGGTTGGCTCCACATCCCCTGAGCTGGTGTGCCTGCTATAAAATGAACTCATCTGTGTCTGTGTAAGTCCTGGGCACACCTTGGTTTGACATGGGGGGAAAGGGTCATGTACAGAAACAGCACCATGGAGGGCACAATACTGTGCCCACATGTCTCTGGTTCAGGGAATGATCATCTCCAAACTCTTCTCAGTAAGGGAGGAGGAAGGTGCAATGGCAGTGTGACACTGAATAACACACAGGACGGATCCCTGTGTGTCCACACTGGACTGGAAGGTTCTGCATGAGGCCCAACTGGCCATTCAGCATAGCCAGGAGTGGGAGAAAGGAAGCCCAGCAGTACTTAAAACTTTGGGAAGTCTCTGAGCACACACCAGAGGCTTGAGGGCAACTGCCAAGACACTGCTACACACCAAAAGCCAAGGGGTTTTGATGGATTCTTTTATTAACTGAAGTTCTGCTAAGGTCAGTCCATCTTGGGCTTTCAAAAGGAAAAACTTTATTTTCCCTCCACCTACACCACTACAGCAGGTCTGATGCTGTAAGTTGTGTCACTCTGAACACATCGTCTTCTTTCCAGCTCCAGTAGTGTTTGCACACATAAAGCAGCATCCATTTGATTAATAAATGATCATCCAGAGCAGTCAACCCAGCCATTAAAGGATTAAAAAAAAATTGAGAAAGGATGAAAAAAATCTTCCATAGGGAAATTTTGTAAATTAGCTGCAAACCATTCTCAAAGAAATGGTTTCTCTCTTAGTCATCAGTACCTGCTATTCTTTACCCTCCAGACATATGGAAGATATTCCTGCTCTGCAGTCAGACAAGAAAGCTGTTTAGTAAGTGCATGTTAATGCAGAAACAGAAAATAGTGTTGAAGCAAACAGAAACAGTCATTTAACAGGCTTCAGAGAACACAAGCATCTTACTTATTGAAGACTTTCTTCTCAAGCCGGGACCGAGAAGTGTTCGCCTGTTGCTTCAGGTCTGTCAGATTTGGGTATTTTTTCTTCTTCCCTTGCTTCTTCTGTCCTTTTCCATTATTTTTAGAGGAACCAAGATCCAGTCCTGTAGCAGCTTCAACTTCCCTCATGAATTCTGGATCTCTCCACTCTGTTAAAAAGACAAAGTATGGGCTTTGAAACAACAAACCCTGGGAGGATTTGCAGTTCCTAAGGAACAGGTTCTTGTCACCACCGGGCAAAGGCAGAGTGACTGTGCTCTAAGTTACATACACAAGGCAAGGGGAGGATAAAGGAGTTGGCCAAAATGACAGATCTTGATGAAAAAGCCCTGCCAGTCTGGGGTTAGTATCTATTATTGGCTGTTGTAGGTTAAACTGTTCTGTAAGAAAACTTAAAACAAGTTATAGCAGTTCTGTAGTAGCAAAATTCCAAGGAAAATACTCCATGTAGGAGAGGTGACATAAACAGAGTGATTATTATTTGGAAATTGAAAATGTCAACGATGTAGCTGAGGAACTAAAAAAAAAACCCTAAAAAAAAGGAAATATGTCAACTTTTGAGCAGAGTAGGGGTGACAACATTGTGACTTTTCTTGCATTAATAATATGTGCTTTAAAACATGAACTGGAATAAAATTCTTGAATAGGACAACACAACCCTGTTTCCATGAGCCCCATTTTGCATCTAAAAAAGATTCTACTTTCTAAGCATCCCACATTTCCTCAGTTTAATTATCTAAATCAAGTTTCTTCTCTTGACAATGGCACAAGTTAATTTATCTGATCAAAACCTGTTTTACAGTTTTATCAAAAACTTAATGCTTCAGGATCCAGCTACACACTGTAAATGGATTCTGATCCTAGATGCCACCATGGGAAAAAGCATGAACAATTTAGACTGTAAACTCTTTGAGGAAGCCATGGTCTTTCACCTTTAGTGTAGAGTCTTGTGCATCAGAACAAGGTAACGAAGTAAAAATGTGGCTGGAGGATGGACATCTGCGAGGGGGAAACTCAGGAAAATGGCATTGAATTGTAAAGACTTTGAGTACATGGGTTGGAAAAAAAAATGTAGGAAGTACCACTTCAAGGAGAACATGGACCAAATTCAGCATAATCCGTATTTTAACAACAGGAATTGCCAGTCATTCATCATAGTTTCCTGCACATTTGTCAGCCTCCAGAAACTGTAAACAAAAAGTCTACTATCTTTATTTAACATCATTGTAGATGTTAAATATAGAAAAATAAACAGTCCTAAAGGACTACACGATTTCTTTTATACACCAAGATGGTCGCTGAGTGTGACAAACCCCACTAACAACATTTCAGGAAGGCCAGAGGCAATGTCCTCACTTAAGAACACGGTGTTAAGGAATACCAGAGCAGTTTTCCAAGGAAAAGTTAGATTTAACCTACTATAGGACTGATTAAAATCCAACACACCAAAAAGCACGAGGAAAACGAAGCTGTTCCAAGAGCTGAGCAGAAGAGGTAAAAAGGGAGAAAACAGAACACGTAAACTTGATAGATCATAAGACCTCAGAGACTTTTTTTTTTTCTCTTTTTTTTTTTTTTTTTGAAGTGAAGGAATACAGAACAGCACAATTCAGATACAGGAACGATTAATCCAAGATTAAGGAAAACTGTCTAAACAGTTTATCTCCCAGTAATAAGAAGGCGTCACAGTTTAGGAACCCCGTGAATGGAGCAATTGTTTAAACACAACGAAAAAATGCCGGCATCCAGTAGAGATGAAATGAGCATTTGAGTAAAATGAAGGAGCAATTTAAAAGCTTTTGAGAAAAATCAATAGAATGCCAGGGAAGAGCAGGCTTTTTGAGCATTGATGGGCCCCTAAAGCTCTTCATACATTGTTACTGAGTTTAGCAGCAGGGAAAAGAAAATTACACAGTTTGCAAGGGTAGGCGGGAATCAATACTGTAGTTAGTAAAGAGATGCTATTTCACATCTGAGTGGCCAGCGGCCTGCCTGCACCAGCCTGTCCTGATACCTGTTTGTTAACAAGTCACTAAGGGCTGAAAAACCAGATACTCTTCAGGGTTGACACAAAAAATAGGCACTTAATTTGCTCCTGTGTGCGAACTATTGGAAAAGGATGAACGCTGCAGATTAGCGGGTCAGCGTAATCCCGCCTGGTTCACTGTTTCAGGACTGCAGAGCCCAAAGCACCATTTTGTGGATATCAGCTAGAGTTTAAAATTTTACACTAAGATAAAAAAATGCTCCATAATAACAACGACAGTGTTGTCAAAACACAGTCATTCTCACACAAACTGCATTACTTTTATATAACTGTTTCCCCCTTTCAATGACACAAAGATAAAAATAAGCCTACCACTCAGTAGGAAAGAGATACAGGAAGAATTTTGGTGCAATTTACCCCCACAATTGATCCCCAAATTTTATTATTTTTCAACATTTTTCGAACTGTCATAATTAATAAATGTTGTTGTCAATCAATAAGACCAAAGGACTAACTGTACACTTGCATATTTTTCGTAGCAACACTGCTAAGACTTGCTTCAAGATCTTTCTAACAAAAAAAAACCCAAACCCCAAAACCCAAACATCAGAGCAAACCAACCAAACACACCCCTCTAAACCACAAGCCCCAAGCAAAGTAAAAAACATTTTCAAAGGTTGATGAAAATATTATAAAGCAAATATAAAACCAGCGAGGCACAAGGAAAAAAGAAAGCAACAAAAAGCAACAAAAATAAAAAGTATTTAGTGACATCTGGTATACGTGTGGCTTTAGAAACCTGGAAGGTTTTGTCCAGTAAATTAAGTGCCACAGCTTGTGCAGTATTTCCCCAGCCAGACGGGATGGACCTTTGTGTGACATCTCAGCTTAACAACCACACTCAATAATGCAATGCCAACACTGGTTTGGGACTAACATACACATCCTTGTGGGCCAGAGGTGAGAAGCCTCTAACACCACCGAGCTGACACTGTAACAAAAATAAATACTATGTCTAGCCTTAAGCAATAGCAATTTCACAGGGAAAAAAAAAGAATCAATATTTTTCAGTGCAAGTGGTTTTTATACCAGAGTATTAGTTTCTAGTTCGAGATCTCAAGTACACCTACTAGTTTAACTTGCTAGTTTTGGTCTGTCATAACTAAGCTGGGAACTTTCCTTTTCAACACAACATCCACACTCCTGCCCTGGTTTCGCTGTGACAGTCCAACAGTGTCCATGCTGTCGGCTGGGTGCCAGTTTAAAACACTTATTCCACCTGGACAGGGAGGGAAACTACCTGCAAAAGTAGCACTTTGACACCTGCAGATACCAGGTGGTGTTCAGTAACTGCTGCACTGGTGTGGTGCTGAAACACTCTCTCTTAAGTGAGAACTAACTCCTTCAAGGGAGTATTCTATAAGAAATTAAAATGCTAATGCTCACGGGTGAGTTTAATTAGAATGCAGAATACTTACCTAGAACAAATATCTTATAACAGAGAAAAGTAAGTCCTGCTGGAAGAAGGAAGATTAAAGAAAAGCTTCGAAAACAAATCTGTCCCCTCCAATTATACTCTATGTCTCTGCTGGATAGATCCCTCTCTCCTGTCTTCCTTTGCAATCTATCAACTTCCAGTGCCTTCCTGCTTGCAGTCCCCCAAGTATCTTCTGTCTATCATTAATGAGGTTTAGTTGTACTATTGCAAGAAAGTCTCTTGTTCTCCTTGGAAGTCTTCCTGCCCAGCTACTCACTGCCTGCTGTTTTTCTAATTCCCTGCGCTCCTTACCTAGCAGTCCAGAGCTGCACCCTGCCTAAAAATGCCCAAATAATAATCTTGGGGAAGGAAGAGCCTTCCCCTCTACACCTGAAAGCTGCAGCCAAGATGCAAGGAGAAGGCCATTAATTTTGTGGCCCATCCCCAGTTGGTTAAAATCAAAATCCAGAGTATTGCACAGCAACGTGTAAACAATTAGACAGCACAGCTCTGCTTGCTGCCTTCCTCAAGCCCATCACAAACACCCCTTTCAGAACTTCAGAATGGTTATAATGCCAATAAAGCAAAGGCCAAGGTGAGCACTTCTCTAGCTCAGAGGGTTTTCTAGCAATGCTGCACAGATGCACAGCATAACAAGGCCAAAAATTCTCCTTCTAAAACACAAGTGGTAAGTCAGTAGATACGGGAAATGTAGACTATGAGAGATATGAACAGATACAGCAAAAACAAGTTCCCGCATTGTGACAAAACATACACCTCTCCCAGTATTCGTGGGAACACAATGATCCCAATAAAATCATCATTATGTTGCATAAATCACCACTGCTAGGGAGCAGCAACATCAGGTGACTTCTTCTCAGAAGCACGGAACAGTTACTGTCAAGCATCTCCCAGGGAAAAGGTTTAATCATCCTTGATAAACATGCTCCTTAAAGACAAAGGCTATAACTTCTCTGGGTGAGCAGTGTTGGGAACATTACAGTAACTACTGGAAATAAAGCACAAGTGCAATGTTAACCTTGTTCTGTGTACACATGCATCCGTATTTGTCATATGAGTAAACACCACTGCAAATGAGCTGCAAATTAAAATCACCTGGAAAGTAAAGGGGAGAACGTGGTTAGGAGTGGAACAGGTAACAGCTATCTCCCACCTCTCCCTAATACTTTTTTAAATTCTATTGTTTTTTAGGATGCTATGCAGGACACAGACCTGGCTGGGCTGCTTGCTTCTCAAACCTCATCTTTTCTTCTCTGGCTCTGTCCTCTGCGTTCACAGGAACCCCAGAGTCATCCCGAGGAATTATCTTTCCATGGAAAGGGCACTTGAGAAAGAAAGAGGAAAAAAAAAAAAACAACAACAAGACTTTTGAATGAAAAGAAAATGCTTACATTTTATTCAACACAACATAAAGCTGGACACTGGAGCTGAGCAATGAAACTACGCTTGATTCCCAGTTCCCCTTAGAAACATCAGAATCCCATAAACATCATGTGTTTAATGTGTTCAGAATCTGAAAGAAATGAGCTCTTTTTCATACAAATATCCACTTTCAAGAGACCAGGTAGCACATCCTGTCAAGTCTGGGACTAGGGCACCAATGACGCATCATTTACGCTAATCCCATTTAAATTATTTCAGTGCATTCAGATCCTTCAATCTCAGATAATACAGGAAAAACAGGGATACTAGAAGTATTTAAGCAAAGTAGTTCTGCTCAACAAAACTTGAAATTTTGAGGCTGTGTAGAATTTACCTTTGATAAAACTCAATTTGTAAATAAAATTTCTTTGCCCCTCAAACACAGAAGTTTCCAAAACCAGTTAATATCAAATATGCCCCTAAATGAAGAAAAATTTTCAGAAAAAAAAAACAAACACCTGTTTCTGCCTTACTGCCAGGTACTCCTACAGCAAGTATAGTATAAATAAAATACAAATAATTTATACTGAATGCCAAAAACATTTAAGAGTTCTTTAAATGTTTACAGCTTCTTTACCAAAAGGCTGTTTCCCATAGGAAGCAAATATTAACAATGAACTTCTCCAGATGTGATGTTCTTCCACTCCCTTGAGCTATATTCACAATGTGAAACTAACTTTTATGTGTATGTTTTAAGGAGATCTCCTTCAGATACCACAGATCTTGGAAGTTATGTAACTCGATGCCTACCTTAATCCGATCTTGCCTTTCACACAGACTCCCATCAGGCATTGGTGCCCGACACTTGTGTTTCACCGGCTCAAACTTGCCAGCGAATGTTATATATCTAGTTTTTAACATTTCCGTTATTTCTTTATTTTCCACCTCTTCCTCTACTTCACTGGGTGCCCAAAATCGATGCTCAGATGTAAATCTGCGAAAATAACGAATGGAAATTATCCACAGAGTTGTAAGAAAGCACATAAAGATGCCAGTATCAACCTGTGCTAAACTCACAAGTGAAAGGAAGGGAAGCTTTATCAGCGAATTAAAAAATCCTCTATGACTCCACCAGTCTTTCTTATGACTCCTATATTATGAAGATGCTTTCAAAATATCACCAAAGTCCCTCTAGTATTGATTTCCTGTTTAACCTGCTAAGCTATTACAAGTCTGAGCTTTAGCTCATGATCAGACATCCAGAGTCAGTTATCTGATATCTGGATTCAGGGAATAACTTTGTAATTCTGTAGTGAACATTCTTCATAACAAAATACTTCTATGATTAAACACAAGACAGATCAAGGAGGAAACAGCTTGATCTTAACTGTACTCCTGCAGCAGCAGAGAAGCAGGAGCTGAAATCAGAGTGTGTTGCAATCCACTGAGATCAAGGGAAAGAGCAATCAGCTGAGCCTTATACAGAGTCTTTCTTCCAGGTTCTCCTTTACAGTGCCAGTAAGTATGAGAAATTATCAGGTGTTCCTCTAGGAAATTAGGCTAATCCATTGAAAATCTATTTTAAAATGAGACACCTTACCTATATTTACAGACACATATAGGCAGACAGACAGAGAAGATCAGTGCCGTGTCAGTGGACGTAGAGAGTGGGAGGGAAGGGCAGCAAGGACCCTTGAGTGATGTAGTATTGCCAAATTTTCTCAAGGGCGTTCATATAATTTCATTTTAGCCACGCTGAGCTGCCAATAGTCTGTAATGAGAAACAGGCAAACCCAGAGGGCAACTACCTGACTCATTTTAGTTGCTAATCTTAGAAGACAATGACTGTCCCTATGAAGGCAAATGTTTCCTTCTCCTAATCATGAAAAGAAATTATGGGTGACCATCTGAAGATTAGATATCTAATTTTAAGATATCTGAAGTTAAACAACAATAATCCCACCCCAAATTTAATGAAATACGAAGCTGAAGAGGAAAAAATACTACTAAACTAAGGAAAAAAAAATTCCAGCCTCCATGTCTGCTGCTTATTAAAAGCAAAATGGAGATACCAAATGATAAATGTCTCAATAAGGACATAAAATCCACAAAGGACACTTTACAAACCCTTTCTCCTACACAGCTCTTCCCCCATTCAGTTCCAGACTTATTTGAGAGGATTTTCTCTATCCACATCCAATTCCTCTCAATCACTCCTACCCTTGGACGTCATTCCTACTTCTGACTGAGACTTTGCCTTCTGCAGCCTGCAGAGCCATACACACATGATCAGTGGCTTCACTCGTCACACCAGTCTCAATTCACCAAAGCACACAAGCCAGCAACTGAAAGAATTACTGTAGAAGGCCTGAAAGGGTTTTGATGAATTTTATGTAAGCAAGTTTTCAGCAGGTGACAAAGGAAAGAAAAAAAAAGTAGGGGAAAATACCTGACCTTGGCAACCTACAACTTAAATAGGTGCTGGTTTTATATATATCTCAGTATGACTTTAGTCCAACATTTGAATGGTACAGTATTTTAGCTTCAGGAATTATAGGGCAAGACAATGAATAGAAGAATGAAATAATTTTATTATTTGCTTAGTTTGATGCGATGCTGAAACCAAGACTGACTGCCAGCTCTGTGCTACCAACTCTGCAGCCACACAGAGGGGAAAGCATTCCTAAAAAGACCACACAGTATTTTTACGTGCATGGTAGTCTTGCAGAAACTCTCTGTAAAATTCTAGTGTACTCTGGTGGTCTGAACTCCCCTCTCCCTCTAAATTATCAAATTAGAGTTACATGAGAATGAAGAAGCATTTAACAGTTGTGCATGCTAACCTTTCCAATCAGGAAATAGTTCTATTTAATATTTTTTCTGTCTCACTTCCCTTAAACACGCATTCAAAAAATGTAAAAAACCCATTAAAATTATATTTTACTCTATGAATCATTGATCAGTATTTGAGGACTGGACTTAAAACACATATAAATTCCTACACATATATTCCCAAATATTATTGTTTACTACAAGCATCTAATTTACTTTCTCCCAACATGACTTACAAGCAGGTGAGAGAAGAAAAAAGCAGTGGTAATTCCCAAAGTTTTCTGATTTCTTGTTGTAAGTTAAGCAACATTTTAAAGGGGCAGATACTTGTTCGAAAAAATGATGCACGTGACAAGTAAAACCTACTTGGAAGATGAATCAGAAGAGGAACAGATAATCAACTAAAAGATAAAAAAGATCAACACCTCACACTCATAGAGTGTTCCTGATCCAGACAAATAATAGAGGGTTTAATATATGAGGAGGAATAAAAGACAAATAACGGTTAACAAAAAACTAAAAGAAAGACAAGCTACTGGAGAAATGTTGCATTCTTTCAACAAATTTATAATGATCTTAATTCCTGAAATGATGGGGAACTTACAGAAGAGTTGAATAAATGTAAATTCTAAAACCAGATGCTTACAGAGATCCTGAAGCAAGTGCAAAATGGGCTGATTCAAACAGCCTAGTCAGAGTCAGTGCTGCACTAATGATCCTCCTCTGCTCCCAAGAGTAAACTCATTTAATTCAAGGAGGAGGGTAGATGAGTTTAGAAGGTCCATGCTATCCAAAACAGTCTGCCAAGCTGACAGCAGACTCTACACAATACAACACTGTGCTGTATACACTACCTACCCCCCCAAAAAAAGAAATATAAAGTACTGCTATAGTTTCATAAACTCATTTTAAGAGTTGTTAAACTAGTTTAATGAGTTGTGTAAGTGAAGGCAGAAGTGAAGAAAATTGTTCAGCCCAAATTTTTGTCAAGCTCACAGCTACTGTCACTTTCTAGGGAAGGTGATGGATCACCATTGACCAGCTAAACAAAACTTCTTTAGAAAATCATCTTCCCAGTAGCTACATTCTCACTATCAAACTCCTAATTTATTGTAAATGCTATGACTAAGTAACTATACTATTAAGGAAGTGAAGTGGAAAGACTTTTCCCCTTCAAATTTAAAAAATTCAAATTCCATACACATCCCATATGTGTTGTCTGTTTTCTAGTTTCCTTTTTTCCCCTAAGCATCTTATAGAGCCAGTATGTGTGCATACAGAAAAGGTAAAGGAGTTGACCAATAGCTACCATAATTTCTCAATAAATATATTTTATCCTCGGGGTCAATGGTATTGTGTGTGCAGAGTTACTTAAATTATCTTTACTTAGATTGGCATATCTGTAGTTATAGACTATAAGGCTCAGAAGTGTGCCCTCTATTTTATTGGGAAGCATAAAAATAAAACAGTACAGCACAAAGCAGACAGGCAGTGAAATATGCTTCTGATTTCACTTAGGACTCGAGTAACTCATCTGCAATGTAAAATAAGGCCTTACTACCTTTTTGGCACTATCACAGACAAATGCTTCCTAAAGGCCCTGCTGAAAATCTTAACCATTTTACAGGTTTTGAAGACCCTACACCACAAGAGATGGAACCCAAAGCTTGGAGTGACTGTGGCAAAGCACAGTTCTATATCAAATTGAACTAGTTTTCAGTAATTTAAAGAATACTCAGCATTTTATGCCACCTGGTACAGGGGCAAAGCTTTCCTTTTGTTCTGTTCGGCCAGCACTGTCTTAACACTGTGACCACGTGTTGGTTTTCTCGATTTGTTTTGGTAAGAAAACAAACTAAGTGACAGTAATACTGCTAAGAATATAAGAGCTTGATTTGCAACACAGCCAGTCACTGATTTTTTACTTTTTCAAGCCGGGTATGGTACACACTGATTGTAAAGTTCTGGTGGACTTTAAGGAAACTTATACGTAAAGGGAAGACTTTGCATCCCAACTTCCATTTGAAATTTCTAAAAGGGGTTCATAACTGACTCCTAGAAACAAGTTCTGATGGATACCTACCAGCTCTTCTCCCCAGCACTGCTAAAGCCTTCCCTAAGTCAGCAACGAGTTGAAACACAAAACCTTCCCAGACAAGAATGGAAAGTGAAAGATCCACAATTCAAATCCTGTAACTGCCACCTTTTTCTTGTGAGACTGAATAAGCATATCAATTTCCTCAGCTACCACCCTGCAAAGTCAGGAAAAATACCCCTGACACCTCCCCAGCCTTTCTCCTGCCTTGCCTGCTACTTATTTAGACAGCAAAGTCTCCAGCTGAGGGAATGCCTATCAAGCACTTGGGCAGAGCACTTTGCATAATGAGGTGCCAAGTTAAATTGGAGTAACTGATTCCATGCTGCACACATGAAAAGAGCAGAAAAAAAAAGCGTGCTTTGAAGCATCAAAGGATATTTAATTAGTATCACATCTTCTCAAAACAAATAACATTTAAAGGTAGAATTTCTGACTTTGTTTATGGGTCCTACAACACAAGGGAAAGGAGAAGAGTAATTATCAAAAGAAATAGCAGTCACCCCACTGCATGACCCCTGAGTACAAATAAATCTATTTATTTGTTTAATTTGTCTTAAAAGAAAAAGAGCATTACTTGAGAATCTTCCCAGCACTTGGCTGATCCTCTCCCCAGTAGTGAAGATCTAATCCAAAAGGCATGAGGGGAGCTTTAGCTCTTTCTTCCTCTAGTTTTCTTCTCTTACCATCAGGATCCTCCAAGGCTGCTGCCTCAGGAGTTGCAGATTCACTGGAGAAAATTGATGAAAAGTCAACACAGAAAACAGCAATGATCACAACAACTTTTTCTCTGTTTTCATTAGATTTTTCAGATGACCAACACTAATATTACCTTAGATCTAGGCAGGTATGTGGTACTGGAAATCATTTTTATAAAGAACTTACCACGGTAAATTCATGCCCGTGTTTGCATGGCAGTGACACAGACTGCAAAGTCTTTCTTTTGTTGACAAAATTCCATCTTGCAATGTACTCATCGTGCAACACCACTACAGAATTCATTAGTCTTACTGACTGAGCTTCACACAATCTCAGTCACCGTACTGAAACGTTAAATCTTTAAAGACTGAAAGTCAAAATGTACACTCCAAACTCTACAGTTCTAATGAAGCAAGCCCCTTTCTCAGATCACATTCCACTTTGCTAGGTTTTGGGTGCCTTTGTGGCCAAGGCAGATGTGTCTTTCCAGGAACGTGCCACTAAGTAGGTGACTCCCAGTTTTATCCCCAAATCCCAGATAAATGCCAGGCAAGGCTGGAGGTCTACCAAACTTTGAACAAGACTGACAACAAATATGAACCAGTGCAACACATCTCCAGGTAGCACTGACACCTAAAGTCATTGGGGAACCAAGAGAAGGTTGAAACTAGTTGCTAATTTAGTATCAGGATACGTTCTGTTTAGCTGCAAACAAAAAATTACCCGAATAAATAGGGATAGGATTTTTTGTTAGCAAAGAAGGGAACAGTGTATTTTCATAAAGGCCATTTACACCAAATGAAAGCTAAATTAACTGGGAAGTAAAAGATTCCTTAAGATCATGGTGCAATATTCAGCAAAATGTTAAGCAATGAATGTAACTTCAAACTGAAACCAAGACAGCCTTAGCAGCTTGCCTAGTTCATGAATGCTTTTCTGTGTGCTGTCGTGACTGATAAACACAGGAGCAAGAGGATTCTACAAGAATTAAAACAAAGATAACCTGGTGTGAGGAGGTGGTAGCTTTGGCAGTTTGTCCCTAATAAGTTTCAGCGTGGCAGCTGCACAGGTTGGATCAAGTTCATCTTCATTCCCTTTCAGCTGCGCTCGGGAGCTCGGTGGAGCTGGTCCCGTTGATGTCTTCCCCACTGGAGCTTTTGGAGGTGCCTCAGGCTCCAGCCCTGCAAAAAAACCGTGATGTTTAGGAGGGATTCACTTCTCCCACCCTCACAGTGGGAGCAAGCAGCCCAGGGTGCTGATTACATGTCTTACTGCTTTCAGTTTGCATTAGACATCAATCCCACTCAGGGATATTCCTGCCTGTGAAATGTTTCTCATTTTTTAACAGATATATACTGAGTAACTACAGCAAACCAACTTTTAAATTTGTGTGACGTGACGACAAAGAATGGTGTTACTTCATTCACTTTGGAAAGAAGGATTTTACAACACATATTTGCCCAAAGTGCAATACTCCTTTTTGTCTCTAAGTTTCTAGTGCCACATCTGTTGCCGGTACGTCATTTCTGTACTCAGGGTTATATTAAGGTACAATAGAAGAAAGGAACTACTGGCACTACTGTTTAACAACTAAGAGCCTCAAAAGACATCTAAGAGTAGGAGAAAGCAAAAAAAAAAAAAAAAGCCACACATCCATATGGTACTGTCTGCTAAGATAAATTCTTTGTGGTGGCTCAGCAAAAAGTCCTGCTGAAACTGTTCTATCCTTGAAAGGGGGAGACACATCTGGGTGGGGATTCACTGCAACACAGGACTGATAAGAAGGGGAACCATCATCACCCAAAGCTTATTCAATGAAAAAACAAAGCATGTTTGAGGCACACCCCTACTCTTTGATGAATCTCAGTTACCATATTGAGAATGTAAAACTAAACAGCCTTTTCTTCTTCCTGATTTGTTAAGGGGCAGCACCAGGGAGATTCAGTTCCTAAATATAACTGCAAACGGAATTATCCAGAGAACATTCTTCTTTCACAGATACTAAACCACAGACTTTACCAAGAGGAAACATCCAAGTGCTGGCAGAAGCAGCAAGGACACCCCCAAAGTGTGCTCCAGAGCCAGTAAATGCCTGAGCCACACCTGAGGAACAAACCCCTCTGCAGGGCAGCACTGATGTTCAGCACCAGCAGCTTAATTACTGTGGGGCCACTTAATTACTTTATACAGCCAGATTAGAGAGCCAGCACGGGCTGTAAGGATGCAATTAGAAAGGCTGAGCAGTTAGACAGCACTTGCCTCTACCTGCTGAGCTAGAGAAGCAGCTCTATTAGCCAGGAGTAGAAACAAGAACTTTTCAGCCAATGATAGCTAAAATTGGAAAGATGAGACCCCTCACACTAATGTAATAGACTGTACTTGTCCCCTTTTTTAAGAAAGCCTTCTTATAAAATAATTTAGTGAAATGCAAGGTCTCATCCCTCAAAAAAACCCCCCTCTAAATTAATACAAGAAAGTCATGGTTTCACAAAACTAAAGTTTTTAGCAAATTATCTCAGCCTTCTTATGAAAAGCAACCAAAGTTTAACTAACATGTTTTAGCCATTATTTGTCATTTTTACTCTCTTGCCAAATTATAGCCAGTCTTGAAGCTGCATCCAGAAGCACTCTTGTTTTGCTAGTAATTAAACGTATCACAAGACATCAAGTAAAAAATGAAAAGCTCATGTGATATCTAAGACCTGCCCTCTGAGTGGGAAACTGCAAGCCCCATAGTGGCAGATGACTTTGGTACACAAAATATTTTCATTTCAGAGAAAAAAACATTTTTCACACACACACAAAAATTGGAACAATTTGCCCTGACTGCTCTTTCCACCTTTTAAGGTATTCCAGTAATTCATCCTGACCTTGATTCATTTGCACCACTCATTCCCTTTAGCCTATGGAATGCAACCCATGGCATTGCTGACTCAAGTCACAGGTGGAGGTGCAGAGGCAGCAGCCTTCAAGATCCACCCCCTGGGTACACATGGCTCTACATTTTCCAAGTATCAAGATCAGGAGCTGAGTCCTTGTGCAGGGAATGACATCTCATCCTTGTTTTGCAAAGCTCCAAGCTCAGGGCACTGAGAAGGATGCCCTGTCAGCCTCCCTGTTTAACCAAGTTCCTGGACACACTCTCCCCAGAGAGAGCTGACAATCCTAATTCAAAATCCACAAAGCTAGAGCCTCTCAGAAGGAGAGGAGAAACAAAAGGAAACATCCACTTGGATCTGGCTTGTGTGCACGTGTAGCCTTTAAATTTTGTTGCGTATAGCAAACGGTCACTTCAACCATTCCTAGATTTTCTGAATACAACTATCTCCAGGAAAAAAAGAGAGCACCCCAGAATACTCTCAAAGATGAGGACTCTTCTAACACCATCTGAGATCCCAAGTCTCTCTCTAGTATAGTTTCTGGTGGTAACAATGAAGGGAAGTGTTTTAAGGGCAAGAGCAGCAATGATGATGGCAGCAGATGGCTTACCTGCCTCCTTCGAAACAACGAGGGAAGGAAATAGCATCTGGAGAAGGAAAGAGGATGAGAGAGCACTAGCCAACAGCAGTTAATAAGCTTTCATAAAGACTTCTTTGCCTTCTCTGCTTGCTCTCCCATGACACCTCAACATATTCCTGCTGCTTACCCAGTGTATGACACAGAGGAACATGGACCATTTTAAGAAGATGACTGAAGTAACAAGATGCAGCCTGGGTGGGACAGTGTTTTGCCATGTCCATAGAGCAGAGCCAGCTCTGGCAGGCTGATGCATCCCACCTCTCCAAACAAAAGGCTACTGGAGTATCATGTAGATACCCCACAGGGGTGAACACACATCTGAGAGGGGGTATTTCAGTAGCACCAGTCTGGCAGCTGTCCCAGAAAGACTTCAGCAAGTACCCAACTGTCCAAACGTTCACAGGCATGGAGGATTGCACAGGGGACAGAAGAACATTCACTGCAGTCTGAAGCCAGTGTCAATCCAGCTTTTCCCCAGCTTCCTGCTCTTATCTCTGGAAAACAGCCCAAAGCCAAAGCCTGCATTCCTAAGGCAGTGCATCTGCAAAGACAGTGCTGCTCGAGCTGTCCAGTGCTTCCTGGGAACTGAAGTTAGCATGGACCATGATGCAAAGGGGGATCACCCCCCCCTTTTTAATTTTCATGTCCTCAGATGGGAGGTTAGAACCTGTCTCCCAGCTGTGGGCAGCCAGAGCCCACCCTGCTGTTGGTTGTGACGCTGCTGAGCACCCCTGACACTACTACTCCCTTACTCACTCCTGTGAAACCTGTGAACACACCACAGTCACCGTGTTATCCAACCTCCTCTCCAAAGTCAACAAGGCTTTACAGAACATCGTAAAAAAATAGTTTAAAGGACTGATCTGTGCATTGGAAACAGCCTCAAAATTAGCAGAAGGACCAGGAATAAGGGAAGTGATAATTAAATATAATAGGATGGATCTAAGCAGAGAAATATCTAGGCTAAATAGCAAAAGAAATTATCTCATTACACTTATTAGGCTGCAGACTTGCTCTTCAAGAGGGATAAAGGTGCCTTCACAAAAATGTTCTTTTAAACAGCACTTCAGTGAAATAATGATGCAGGAATTTTGAATTTATGCCTCTGAAAAGGGGGCTGGATAGGACTCCTCAGCTCTTGTCATAGGCTGGAAAGGGAAACAGCCCCTCTCAGGTGCTTTGTAGCAAAGTGAAGTAGAATTAACCCAGAAGATTGTTATAACCATACTTCAGTATCATCAGTATTTGGGAAAGTAAACTCTCTTTTATGACAGAAACAAACAGGCCCTTTGGCATGAACAAGGTTAACTGAGAAGAATATGTCACAGACTGCATCTGCAACGTAGAACTGCTTAGACTGTATTTAGAATTTTAAATTGCTTTTATTCCCTTTTTTTTTTTTTTTAAGGAGCCTTTCTGAAAAGCATTATTTAAGGCAACATTCTGTTTAAAGCATGTGTACTATTTACAAATTGTAAAAAGTCAGAAGACAGCAGGTTTGTGTCTGTCAACATACCTTTTCTCTCATCTTCAGAGAAAAATGTGCATATGCAATAAAGATCTCAGAACACCCCTTTTTTTCCCAATTTTTTCCTATGATGTTTACAGAAAACATGACTGCTTGTTCACTACAGTGATTTTGTTGGGGAGGAGGAGGGGAACAGCAGTGACAAGCACTCAGCAACACACAGAAAAGGCAAGAGAGATAAATGGACAATGTGACATTTAGACAGATAAAATCACATCCAAAAGATCAATATAGGAATTCTTAAGAGTTACAAGAACAAAATATTTTCTCATTGATTTCTTATTTTAAGCCATTAACAGAAAAATAGCTAAGGGTAAATACACTACAACATCAGTAATACCACCTCCACTGTGGAGTTTTAAAAAATATTTGTGTATGAAATTAGTTTTTGCAAACAAGATAAAGACAAGAGTCACCATGCAGGCAGCCCCAGCTGAATGGTGTCCAATGCCAGGGTGGGGATGCTTTGTTTTGGTTTTAAGATATAGATTAAGTACAGTTTTAAAAGTAAAATTCATTTTAAGAATCCTGCTGTTCTGCGTGGTTTATTTAACACCAAGTACAGTGCCTGGGTTCAAACTGTTCCAATGGCAGCTTTGAGAAAGAATCATAAAAATGTTTAAATCCCCTTTTTTGTTTAAATTGACCAAATGGCACCTATTTGCCTGAAGCAATAAAGTAGACCATGTTCACAAGATAAATCGATAGAAGGAAAGAGAGAGGCTGGGGTTTCAGCTGAAGTTAGGCTGCTGAATGCTGACATTATTGATTTTAGCTAGTTCAGCTGGCCTTGTAATTAAAATGTAAATTTGAGAAAGAGATTATGTCCTGACAGAAATGGTGGGATTAGGGGGAGATAAAAGCCCCTCAGTGAAAATTCAGAGCAGGAGCAAGCACAGGTTTCCTCAGCTGTGTGGATTTAGACGAAATCTAGCTACTTCAGATTCACTTAAGTTTAATTGAAAAAACGGAGATAGAATATAAACAGGTATTATGGACTTCAACTTCCCTGAGAAAAAATTTAATAATTTCTGTTTCCCATTTGTTGAATCTTAGTCAAGCCAGGAGTATGTGATTCATATTAGCCCAGACACTCTCCAAGGTTGTCAGGAAAATCCGGCAGTTCAGCTACAA